GGCGGCGGCATGCGACCTGACTTGTCAGTGCGGGCTCGAGTAGTGGTGATGCACGGCGTCGCAAACCAGAGGGCCCACACCAGGCCCGCGCGCAGCCAGCCTGCGATGGTGAGCACGACCTCGCGCCGGCTGAGGTCAAACTGCGGCCCTTGCAGCTTGTCGAAGGCGATGCAAGCGTAGCCCTTGCGGCGCAGGTACCGGCTCACCGGCGCAGTGCCAGCGAAGAGGTCTACGAAGACGCTGTGCTTCAGCATGGTAGCATCTGCACGCGCCGCCCGCAGGCTGGCAGCAAGAGCCGGGCCAGCTCGCGCTCGCGGCGCTGCGCCCCCTCGCGCAGCTGCGCGGGGATGCGGTGCATCATCGAGCCCAGCCTGGCATGCTTCTCGTAGCGCCGCGCGCTCTGGAACGAGCGCCACCCGCCCCTCTTCTGAACGTCGAGGAGGGCCCGCGAACGGGAGGACACGTCCTCCGAGGCCCCCCCGCGACGGAGGGAGTACGGCGTCACCTTCAGCTGCGCCAGGCCCAAGCCGAGGAGGTAGCTGTTCCAGACCAGGAGGAAGTCGGTGTAGCAGAACATGAAGAGCCGCTCCCGCTCCCCCCTGTTGGCCTTCAGAAGGCGCAGCGCGGGCTCCAGCAGGCGGTGCCGCGGCAGGTCCAGGGCGACGCTGGTGTCGAACTCGCCGGTCTTGCCAAGCACGTCTAGCTCGCTCGCACGGATCAGGATGGCCCAGAAGCGGCATGCCCCCTCTCGCCCGGCACGGGCGGCACCAGCTGTAGGCCGAGGAGGCTGAGCGCCTCGCTCGGCCGCATGCACGCCTCGAACGTCAGCAGCAGGAAGAGGGCGTAGTCCGCCTTGCCGTCGGCGCAAAGTCGCAGGGCCATCAGCACGGCCAGCGACCGAGGGACTGGCGGGCGCGACAACGGCTTCTCGAGCCGGCGCCAACCAGTGACCGCAGCAGTCGCCAGCGGCAGGCCCCGGCGCAGCGGGCGCGGCAGCTCGGGCAGCGCCCAGCGCACTGCGGCCAGCGTGCTGGCGGCGCCCCCCTCGGGCAGCCCGCGGTCGCGCAGGAACTCCACGTACTGCTCCAGCAGCAGGCCCCACTCGCACGCCGGAAGGCGCTGGGGGGCTCTGGACTCGTGCATCCACGCCAGCAGCTTGCGCAGGGCGTTCAGGCAGTTGCCCTGCGTCGTCGGCGTCACGGCCGCGGCGGCCAAGGAGCTGATGTGGAACCCCAGCACCTCCGCCTCCTCCGAACTGCGGGCGGCAGAGTGCAGCGCTGAGCCCGGGCGCCGCCGCGCCGTCTCGCGGCGCTGCCGGCGTGCCGAGCCAGTCTCCCCGCGATAGGGGACCAGGCGCCCCGGCGCAGGATGGCGGCCCAAGCCCAGGGGGCCAGCGGCAGCCAGCGCGCGGCAGGGCAGCCGGCCCGGGGCCAGCGCGGGCTGCAGAGGGGGCGGGCTGGCAGGGCAGGCGTGGCGGCGAGGCAGGGCGATGCCCTCCAGCCGCGGCCTCCCGCCGGCCACGCCGCCCTCCGTCTCCGGCGCCACCCGGGGGCGCAGCGCCCGACTCGGGGCAGGCGGGGCCCGGCTCGGCCTCTGGCTTGGCGCTGGCACCAGCGCCCTGCAGAGCAGCGGGCTCGGGCCCGGGGAGCCCCGCGGCGAAAGGCCCCGCAAAGGCCCGCCGCTTGGAACGTCCAGCCGCGAGCTGCTCGCGAAGCCCAGCAGCGCCCGCTGGCCCGCGTAGCCGCGCCTCGGCGAGCGCGATCGGCTGAGGGAAGGGCGAGTCACCGCAATCATCCTCGAGCCGAGGCGGCGGCTGACGACCGAGATCAGCGTCCGCTGGGCGATCCGCTGAGGGGGCAAGTGCGGTGTGAAAGTGACGAGCATGATGAGACGAAGATGGGTCGCATCTCCTGCTGGGCTCGTCCGCCGAGTTCCACTCCGAAGGAATCCACCGAAAAGAAACACGTGCTCCGAGGGCCAAGCTCATGGCGCAAAACTCGCGGCACCTCCGCAGCAGGTACCACGACGAGCTCCGCCCCTTGCACGAGGTGAGGACCCAGGCCATTGAGTCAGACAAAACTAAGTGCCGCTTCTGGGCGCTCAGGCGGCTGCGGGCCAGCCGCCGAACCTGCCACAGGGCTGCCTCCGCCTCGAGCGCGAGGATCTTGTCCTTGCGCCTCCAGCGGCGAGCTGCCACCACGCCCCAGTCGCCCCCGCGCGCCAGGGCCGACGGCACCTCCTCGAAGGCGGAGCGCAGCCCCAGCGCACGCAGCTGCTCGGACGAGGCGTCGACGATGTCGCTCAGCGAGGGCTCAGCCTCCTCCCCCTCGACCAGGCAACGCGGGCGGCGGGAGGTGCGCAACGCCCCTCGGTACCGCCCCCGCTCTGAGGCGCGGCCGACGCGGCCCACCTCGGCGGGGGGCCAGGCCTTCTCGGTGACGCCGAAGCCATGCAGCGAGGCGTCGACCGAGGCGACTGCGGGAGACCAGGGCAGGCTCATGTCGGCGACGGCGAGCGGCAGCAGCGCCCAGGCAGCGCGGAGCTCGCGCCGCACAGAGGCCCACACACGCGCTGGCTGCCCGAAGTAGCGGTCGGCGAAGACGTACACGGCCGAGAAGATGGACAGCATCTCTGGCCGCAGCAGCATGATGGCCGAGGCACGGCCGACGGCGCGAGCAATCTGACGCCCCGTGCGGCGCTGACGACCCCAGCCCAGAGTGCGGAGGGCCAGAGCGACCTTCCAGAACTTCCTCGCCGTCGGCCGCCACTGAGTGCCCGTCGAGTCCAGCTCGAACCCGAGCAACGGGGCGCCGGCAGGCTCTGGCGAGGCGTCAACTCCGGCGGCCGCCACGGCGGCCAGCATGTGCTCCAGGCGAGCGTTCGCCTCCGCGGCGCCCGTGCCAAGGGCCGCGAAATTGTCGATGTAGATGAGCGAGGCCCCCGAGCCAGGGCAGACGGGCTCGCGCGGCACGTACTGGGCCAGCCAGCGGTCCGCCGGGGCACAGGGGCGAAGGATCTCCATCATGACATGCTGTATGAAGTAGACCGCCCATGACCAACCCATCGGCACCACTCTGAGGCGCAGGCGCACCAAGCCGTCAGGCGGAGGCGCCCCAACCAGCTGGCGAGCGGCGAGCGGCAGTGCGGCCCAGGGCACAGGCGGAAGGCCGAAGGCCTCACGCAGGTGCACTGGCAGCAAGAACTGGTAGAAGCAGCACGCGACGTCGCCCTGGGCCACGAAGAGGCGCTCCCCCGCCTGCAGCTCGATGCTGCCGAGGGCCTGCGCCGCTGCCAAGGGGGCGCAGTCGGGCTCCGCGAACTCCGCGTTCGAGGCCCTGGCGTCGAAGATCAGCCTGAGGGCCCCGTCCTTCTTGTAGACGAAGAAGGGCGCCACCTGTGAAAACGAAGTACCAACCTCGAGCATGTCACGCTCAAGGAGATCAGCCAAAAACTTTACCATAAGTGCGAGGATTGCTGGCCAGCCTTCGATCAAAAGCCAATTTCGCAGACGAAGAAGAAGATGTGGAGCCCCTCGTCAGCAAGGTGCCAGACTCACCCATCAGCAAAGAGCGGGGCCCCGCCGGCAGTGCAGCAGCTAGCTCCACCGCGCCAGAGGCCACGCGCGGAAGTGAGACCTTCCCGCGCTGGTAGGTGGCGTACTTCCCGCTGGCCATGTCGTCGAATCCATAGCCAGGATCGGAGCCGATCACGGCGCGTGTGGCCGAGTCGGCGGCCAGGTCCGTCGGGCAGCTGGGCACGGCGGCGCAGGAGCTGCGAAGCCGCTCCAGCGCGTCGGTCTGGGGACCAGAGGCTGCTCCAGCCCGCCGAACAGCGCCGCGCCCCCCCATCTCATTGAGGGTCTGCAGACCTGCCGAGAGCCACTCCGAGCCCATCGCATCCCCTTGACGCGGCACAGGCGAGGTGGGCGCTGGCAGAGGCAGCAGGCCCCTGGGATCTGCCGCAAGACCTGGCGGCATAGCGGCGGCGCAAGCGCTCAGCCGCCTCCCCTGGTGGTGTAGAAGCGGCGCCCAGCCGGGGGGGCTGCGGGGCCGCTGCAGGATAGCACGGGAGTGGGAGGCGTCAGCCCTGCCCCCCCGAGCCAGCGCCCGGGGTGCCAGTCTGGCCGTCCTTGCCCTTCTTGTTGTCCTTGAGCTTCTTCTTGTGGTCGGCGCCGAACGTCTGGCCAGCACCGCAGCCGCCGCCGCCGCCGCCCGAGGCCGCCGACGCCAGAGCCCGCTCCTCGCGGCCCCTGCGGCACTCCTTGAGCACGGCAGCCTGCCCCTCCATGCGCTTCGCCACCCAGCGCTCCAGCTCGGGCGAGATGAGGGCGTAGCCCTTGGCGCGGTCGCCGCCGAGGAACAAGTGCCTCTCGGCCGCGAGCCCCGCCGCCACCGAGCCCTCCGTGGAGGCGCGGATCCGCTCCTGGCACCGCTCCTCCCAGAGCTGGTAGCGGCGGGCCATGCTCTCGAAGCAGGCCAAGTTGCAGATGTTGAGCTGGTCGCACTGCAGCCCAAGCTGGAGGCACTCAGAGAGGAAGAGGTGCTCGTCGATCCCTGGGTCCGACGAGGTCGCCCCGAGCGCCTGCCTCCACCAATGGTGGCGAGGCACTGGGGCCATGCCGCTGTCGGCGAAGGCCTCGATGAGCCACTGCACCGCGCGGGGGCCCTCCACAGGCCAGGCGTCGTCCAGGACCTCCTCGCGCAGCAGGTGACGAGCTGACTCGAAGCTGCGAGTGCGCTCCCCGCGCACGTTGTACTCGACCGCCAGGGTGCGAAGGTCCTCCGCTGCAGCCGCCTCGCCCTCGCCAGTTGGCAACGGCGTCGGCGGGTCGCGGCAGAGACGGTGCCACACTCCCCCACGGCGCAACAGGGCCTGGCCCGAGACGCCGAAGGCAATGTCCGAGGGGCGGATGGCGACGCTCCCCCCGCGCCTGCGGGGGCCCTGGTTCTCGCCAACGAACCACTCGGAGCCCACGAGGCAGGTGTGGGCCGCCAGCGAGCCGGGGTCGTAGAAGGACGGGCCCACGTCAGCAGCTGACACCAGCGAACCGACCGCGGGGGCAGGCACGGCGCCAGTGTCGGCGATGGGCGCGGGCACCCGCCCCCCTCCGTCGGCCGCTGGAGGCGCGCCAGCCCAGCCAGCCAGGTAGGCCTCGGCCCGCCGGCGGAAGGCGCCGGCGTCGGCGATGTCCCCAGGGCGGAAGGCGTAGCGGAAAGCCTTGTGCCCCGAAAGACGGTTCGGGATGCCACCAGCAACGCCACTAGGCAGCGCATCCTCGTAGTCCTCACGCAGCTCCTCGTACGCGTCGCCGTCGGGCGCGAGCACCACGTGGCCACCGGCGGTGCGCCGCAGCACGAGGCGCTCGTGCCAGACCCCCCCCGACGAGTCGAACAGGGCCCAGAAGCGTCTCCCTGCAGCCACCGCGAGGCCATCTGCCATCAGGCGAGAGGAGGAGCTCCGCCTTCAAGCCTGCCGCGAGCTCCTGCCGGCAGCGTCAGCTGCTTGGTCGCCTCCAGGCCCGCGGCCACCACGAACGGAGGCGACTGCCTCGGCGGCGCCCACCAGCGGGCCGCGCACCAGCCAGTCACGAGCTGCCCCACCGCGACGGCGAGCAGCTGGGCGGTGGACCAGCCAGGGGACCCGCAGTCGCACTGGCAGCCGCAGATGGGCGCCGGGGGCGCGGAGCGTGCCAGCAGGCAGAAGGAGCCCATGGAGAAAGCACAGGCGACTGTAGACGGGTCGACCGGCATCCTTGTCCGGACAGAAAAAGGCTTGAGAGACAGTGTCCATGGCGATCGTCAACATTACCATTGACATTAGCACGACGACGATGACAACGACGACGACGACGACGACGGCGACGACGACGGCGACGCCGACGACGACGACGACAACGACGACGACGACGACAAAGACGACGACGACCACGACGAGGACGACGACGACGACGACGACGACGACGACGACGACGACAACGGCGACGACGACGACGACCACGGCGGCGACGACGACGCGGACGACGACGAAGACGACTAACCGACGAAGATTGGGACGGCAAGTCGGGCGACGGGCACCTCACCACGGCAGCGCTGCTCTGTGACCTTGTCCGGGTTTGGGCCGCGGCCGCGGGCGTTGCGTTCCTGGCAGGGGGCGCGGGTGGAAGCGTACAGAGGTAGAGATGGAAGGACGCAGACGGTCCTCCAAGAGCACGGTCCCGTTCTGCACCGTCATCTTCACCTGGGCCTCGCATCCCAGTGCCGCTGTTTTGGTGCGTTTCCCCTTCTCGCAGTCCCAGATAATGTAGGAGTCAGCTGTCGCACGGTAGCGCAGGTTGTACATGTAGCCTTTGTGGTGGAGTTTGGTGCCACCCCGACTGCTCATGACGCATTCGCTGCCCTCCGGCAAAGGGCGCGGGAGTGGACGCTGAGGCGGCTTTGCCTTGGCTGCCTGCTGCGGCGCCTGTGCTGCCACCGCGAGCTGCGGAGCAAGCGCTGCTGGCTGAGGTGGCGCCGCCATGTCCTGGCGTCAGCGGTAGCGACCCTGCGCGCAGGTGTTCCCTGGGCTCCGGGCTGGATGCAGGAAGCCAGCGAAACTGATCCAAGATGGCATCATTCCAATTCCGTCCTGCCCCGATTCCTCCTCGTCCTCTTCGTCTTGCCCTTCTGGTCGTGCCCACCTCCGTCCTGCACCTTTTCCTCCTTGTCGTTGTCCTCGTCCCCTTCCTCCTGTGCCTCGTCGTTCCACTCCTGGGGCTCTTCCTCATCCTCCTCATCTCCTCCCTGCATTTCTCAGCCTGCCGGCCGCCGTCGGAAGCCCAGAACAGGGCAGGAGGCGACGAGGAGGCGTTCTCCCTCCACCTTTTCCTCCTCGTCCTCGTCCTCGTTCCCCTCCTCCTGTGCAACGTCGTTCCCCTCATGGGGGCCCGTGCTCATACTCCTCAGTTCCCTCCTGCTTTTGTCTGCCCGTTCGTGGCATGTTTCACTCTGCTCGTCGCCTCCGAATTCCAAGAGCAGGGCAAGTGGCGACGAGAAGGCGTCTGCCGAAGAGCAGGAGGCGAGGAAGGGGCGTCCGCCGAAGCGGCGTCTGCCCAAACGGTGTCTGCCGAGACGGCTCTGCCGAGACTGCTCTGCCGAAGCGTCTCTGCCGAAACGTCTCTGCCGAAGCGGCTCTGCCGAAGCGGACGTCTGCCGAAGCGGGCGTCTGCCGAAGTGGACGTCTGCCGAAGCGGACCTGCCGAAACGGACTTGCCGAAGCGGACGTCTGCCGAAGCGGACTTCTGCCGAAGCGGTCTTCTCTCGCCGGCGCCGAGGCGAGAGCGCCAAAGCGCTTGGGGGGGTCCAACAGTAATAACTGCGTGGTAGTTAACATTCAACAACAACGACAACAACAACCACAAACCACAACAACCACAACAACAACAGCAGCAACCAACAACAACAACAACAACAACAACAACAACAACAACAACAACAACAACAACAACAACAACCAACAACAACA